GTCCTGAAAAAATATACACTACTTGTGTGTATAATGTGTCTTTGCTTTGATGTCAACCTATAGAAAACTCAATACTTATATTTATATTACCCTCATTCCTTACCTACTTTATTGAATAGCTTTTTATTTAATAAAATAGAAAAATAACTATTTTAGCCTTGTGAAAATGGTTTGTGTTTAAATAGGTTTTCTAGCCCAGTTCAATGGCTCATACCAGTAATCCCAGCACTTTGGGAGGCTGAAGCAGGAGGATTGCTTGAAGCCAGGAGTTCAAGACCAGCCTGGGCAAAATAGTGAGACCTGGTCTCTAAATACAAAACTAAAAAATTGCCAAGTGCAGTGGCTCACGCCTGTAATTCCAGCAGTTTGTGAGACCGAGGTGGGCGGATCACGAGGTCAAGAGATCAAGACCATCCTAGCCAACATGGTGAAACCCCATCTCTACTAAAAATACAAAAATTATCTGGGCATGGTGGCATGCACCTGTGATCCCAGCTACTTGGGAGGCTAAGACAGGAAAATTGCTTGAACCCAGGAGGCGGAGGTTGTAGTGAGCTGAGATCACGCCACTGCACTCCAGCCTGGGTGACTGAGCGAGACTCCATCTCAAAAATAATAATAATAATAATAATAATAATGATTAATTAACCAGGCATGGTCACAAACACCTGTGGTCCCAGCTAGTCAGGAGGCTGAGGCAGGAGGATTGAAGTTGAAGGCGTTCAACTCCCAGGAGTTGAAGGCTGCAGTGAGCTATGATTGCACCACTGCACTCCAGCCTGGGCAACAGAGTGAGACACTATCTCATAAAAGTAAATAAATAATAAATAAATAAATGGGATTTATATTTATAAACCAAAACAACATTTTTTATTCAATTGGATTTAGTACACCCTGATGTTTTTGCAACTTTTTGCTGATTATGCTTTTTTTAGAGAATATAACTTATGAGTGAATATAACTTATTAGGAGGCCTCAAGATATATATTAAATTAGATAGTAACCAGAGGATAAATGTAACAGACAGTTAGCCATTTGCTATTACAAGATTCTGCAGAGACCTTTTCATGTTTGACCTGAGATGTTTAAAGTGTGTTTTTAATTCTCTGTACTCCTAAAAAGCATACATATCAATACGTCTGTGGGTTAATGAATTAGAGTACTAACAGATAGGCATGCTTGGTTTATTGTTCCACCGAACAATATTATGATCTTTTGTGCTATATCATGATCCTCTTCCTTCCTGCAATAAATTTCAGAAATAAGAGATGAGCAAATCTTCTTTTTGAGATTAACATGAAACATAACAAAGTTAGAATAATAGGGACTGGTTGGAGGCCGGGTGCGGTGGCTCACACCTGTAATCCTAACACTTTGGTAGGCCAAGGTGGGCGGATCACCTGAGGTCAGGAGTTCAAGACCAGCCTGGCCAACAATGTGAAACTCCGTTTCTACTAAAAATACAAAAATTAGTTGGTCCTGGTGGCACGTGCCTGTAATCCCAGCTACTCCGGAGGCTGAAAGGGGAGAATCACTTGAACCTGGGAGGCAGTTAGCTGAGATCAGGCCACTGCACTCCAGACTGGGCAACAGAGCAAGACTCCGTCTCAAAAAAAAAAAAAAGGAAGAAGAATAGCGACTAGTTGGAAAGTTAGATTGATTGTTTACTGAAAGTGGGAAAAGATAATTTAGTTTTTCACATAACTAAAATCTTACAGAAAACTTGCTAAATTTAACAAATAGGTAAGAATAATTTATATTTAGTATTATCAAAGCACTAACCTAAGCAATTCTTATTTCAAGAGAAATTACAGGTTAATCATAAATAGATATTAAAATGCTTTGGAGACTGGGCACATTCACTCACGACTGTAATCCCAGCACTTTGGTAGGCCAAGGTGGGCAGATCACCTGAGGTCAGGAGTTCAAGACCAGCCTGGCTAACATGGTGAAACCCCCATCTCTACTAGAAATACAAAAATTAGCTGGGCGTGGTGGTGCACATCTGTAATCCCAGCTACTTGGGAGGCTGAGGCAAGAGAATCACTTGGACCAGCCTGGCTGATATGGTGAAACCCCATCTCTACCAAAAATACAAAAACAATTAGCCGGATGTGGTAGCACATGCCTGTAATCCCAGCTGCTCGGGAGGCTGAGGCAGGAGAATTGCTTGAACCTAGGAGGTGGAGGTTGCAATGAGCCAAGATCACGCCACTGCACTCCAGCCTGGGCGACAGAGCGAGACTCCTTCTCAAACAGCAACAACAACAACAACAAAATGCTTTGGAAATACGCTTCACATTATTTGGTTCCTTTTAGAGATAGGGTCTCACTGTGTTGCCCAGGCCAGAATCAAAGTTCTGCGCTCAAACGATTCTCCTGACTCAGCTTCTTGAGTAGTTGGGACTATAGGTGTACACCACCACCACTATGGCTCAGGAATTTTTTTTTTATAAATAGATAGTGCAGTCTCCTTCTTTGGGCCTCTTACTTGTAAAAGTGGGCCAGATTTTAGCTTTTCAAACTTTAATGTGTGTGAAGATCACATGAGTATCATTAAAATGCAGATTTTTGCTTTGGTGGGAATCTGAATTTCCATCAAGCTTCCTGATAATGCTGATTCTTGTAGTCTACCAATAGCAAGGAGCCAGTTGGTTTCTATTTCTTTATGTGTTCAACATAGAATTTAGTAATACCTAGTCAGGGCTCAGTGGTACATACCTTAGTCCCAGCTACTTGAGGGGCTGAGGTGGGAGGATTGCTGGGGCCCAGGAGTTCAAGTCCAGCCTGGGCAACATAGGGAGACCCTGTCTCTACGGGGGGAAAAAAGTTAGCAAAATCTTACTAATTCCAATTGTGGTAGTGAGACAAGGGATAAAATGAAGCTTATCTTTTATTTAGTCAAGACTTTTTGGTTGAAAGGAATAGACATCAGTTTAAACTAAGAAAAATAAAAAGGAAGATTGTTAAACAAGAGAAAAAGAATATAAGAAATAATCTCACTGAGCCAGAAATAGAGGTAGGCATCAGGGGAAGTGGAACATTAGAAATCAGCAAGTAACTTAGCTGTATTTCCCAATTCTGCTTCTCTGGGTTTCTGTTCCAACCTCTCCTATTTTCTGATACATGTCTTTGGCTTACCACTTTGGCTTACTGTGTCCTCCACCATTTAACCTTTTAGCTCCAAGTCCCACTATCCCTTGACAACCAGTATCTCTTTTATTTCAAATTATCAAGAGAAAATCTGGTCAGCCAGTAATGATTTGTTTCTACTTGGGTCAAGTGTCCAACCCTGGGCCAGAGAGCCTTCTGGGTTTGGGAGGGTAGAATGTAAGAATAGGGGCTCCTGAGATTGGCCCCCTTATGGGACAAGGGAAGGGTGTTAATTCAAGGAAAGGGAGACGGGGTAGAGCAGCAATGACAGCTGTCTAATACACATTTATAAACTTTTATGAAGAAGGATTTGCTAAAGTAGTAGAGTATAGGCAGTTCAGTACTTTTAGGATACTTCATAAAAGCATGTTTGAAAGCCACCTGTGCAATAGTTGAATCCATTCTAAGGGAACTAAAAATCATATCTGAATTATAGTATGCATTTTTTTTTTTTTTTTTTTTTTTTAAGAAACGGAGTCTCGCTTTGTCACCTAGGCTGGAGTGCAGTGGTGTGATCTCGGCTCACTGCAAGCTCCACCTCCCGGATTCACGCCATTCTCCTGCCTCAGCCTCCCAAGTAGCTGGGACTACAGGCGCCTGCCACCACACCCAGCTAATTTTTTGTATTTTTAGGAGAGACAAGGTTTCACCGTGTTAGCTAGGATGGTCTCGATCTCCTGACCTTGTGATCCGCCCACCTCGGCCTCCCAGAGTGCTGGGATTACAGGCATGGGCCATCGTGCCCGGACATATAGTATACATATTTTTAAATGCTTTTGAGTATTATCAGTGTACACAAGGGATAATGGTAAAATAAAAATTGAGTCACCCACTCCTACCTCTTCCCCAGTGAGCACAATGTAAAGTTGTCCTGGCCTCCGCGCTATTGACCAGTTCCTGGCAGAACAGCCCTGTACTTCTTTCTACTTACTGTTTCCTGAATCTCATTCCGTACTTTTATCGTTCATAGAATTTTTTAAGCTAATACTGAGATTACCTTTTGTGGGACTACAAATATTCTCCCATTGTTGGAGTTACAGAGGTACCCAAAACATTTGAGATTCAAGTTTATATTCCGATGCATTTGATATAAAGAGAAAGTGTAACATTTCTCCAGTTGTATTTGTGAATATCTGTGTTCTTAAAACAGTTGAAGTAATTGCCAAATTACCTCATTTTTCCAAAAGGGCCATTTTGTCTATGCTGTTGGCTCCCAGTATAGAAATATGAAATTGACAGTATGTGATAAAATTTAGAACATTTAGAACAATGTTCTTTTTTTCCCCTTTGGCTTATCAGTAAGCCAGTGCTACAGAGTCTGGTGTTCTGCTTTTTCATACTTCTAAAATGGATGTATCCCCCAAAAGTAATATGTCCAGTTAATAAACTTCAAGTACTGTACAGTGCTTAAATTTAATTAATTTTTTTTTTTGAGATGAAGTTTTGCTCTTGTTGCCCGGTCTGGAGTGCAATGGCTCTTATCTCCACTCACTGCAACCTCCACCTCCCGAATTCAAGCGATTCTCCTTAGCCTCTCAAATAGCTGGGATTATAGGCATGCACCACCATGCCCAGCTAATTTTGTATTTTTAGTAGAGACAGAGTTTCTCCATGTTGGTCAGGTTGGTCTCGAATTCCCAATCTCAAGTGATTTGCCTGCCTCGGCTTCCCAAAGTGCTGGGATTACAAGCGTAAGCCACCACGCCCAGCCCGGTGCTTAAATTTAATGTCACATCGTTTTAGGCAAAAGTACGCACCATTATCTGGAAGGAAAGCATTTATAGAAATTACTTGCTGGCATGTCTTTCTTTATATTTATCTTAATTATACCTTCTTTTTTCTTTCAGAAAAATCCTGGGCAGAAGCTGGATCAGCAAGAATGTCACTCCTTATATTGGTGTCCATTTTCTTATCTGCAGCTTTTGTTATGTTTTTGGTATATAAAAATTTTCCTCAGCTTAGTGAGTAAGTATGGGAAATAAACTGAAAATGTATAGATATTTATAAGATGAGAGTGGATTAAGGCCAAGTGCAGTGACTGACACCTGTAATCTCAACACTTTGGGAGGCCGAAGTGGATGGATTGGTTGAGTCCAGGAGTGTGAGACCAGCCTGGGCAACACGACAAAACCCATGTGAAAATACATACATAAATATGTGTGTGTGTATATTTAATATATATGTTAAAATATATATACACACACACACACACATATATATATATTTTTTGAGACAGAGTTTTGCCCTGTCATCCAAGCTGGAGTGCAGTGGCGTGATCTGAGCTCACTGTAAGCTCTGCCTCCCAGATTCAAGCAATTCTGCCTCAGCCCCCCGAGTAGCTGGGATTATAGGGGTGGGCCACCTCATCCAGTTAATTTTTGTATTTTTAGTAGAGACGGGTTTCACCACGTTGGCCAGGTTGACCTCAAACTCCTGACCTCAGGTGATCCACCTGCTTTGGCCTCCCAAAGTGCTGGGATTATAGGCGTGAGCCACTGTGCCCAGCCTGGAAATACATTTTAGAAGGGCAAAATATCCCAGAGCTATTAAACTCTAGTAATACCACCCTGGTATAATCATAGATTATATAAAGGACTACTAAGATGTAGTTAGACTTTCAACCAGGGTCAGCCTGATGTGGTAATGGAGAACTATGAAATGTGTTTTAAAAGTATCAGGAAGGACATGTTTTCTCCAAATTACCTGCAGTCACAATCCTTTTTTTTTTTTTCTTCATTTTTCATTTTTTTTCTTTTCTTCACTCTATCGCCCAGGCTGGAGCACAGTGGTATTAATTTTGGCTTACTGCAATCTCTGCCTCCTCTTCTGAGTTGAAGGGATTTTTGTGCTTCAGCCGCCTGAGTAGTTGGGGTTATAGGTGTGCGCCACCATGGCTGGCTAATTTTTATATTTTTAGTAGACATGGGGTTTTACCATGTTGGCCAGGCTGGTCCCAAACTCCTGGCCTCAAGTGATCCGCCCACCTTGGCCTCCCAGAGTACTAGGATTACAGGTGTGAGCCACTGTGCGCAGCCCACAATTTTTTTTTTTCTTTTTGGAGACTGAGTTTCGAGATTGTTGCCCAGGCTGGAGTGCAATGGTGCCGTCTCAGCTCACTGCAACCTCCACCTCCTGCGTTCAGGCAATTCTCTTGCCTCAGTCTCCCAAGTAGTTGGAATTACAGGTTTGCGCCACCACACTTGGCTAATTTTTGTATTTTTAGTAGAGTTGTGGTTTTGCCATGTTGGCCAGGCTGGTCTTGAGCTCCTGGCCTCATGTGATCTGTCCACCTTGACCTCCCAAAGTGCTAGGATTATAGGCGTGAGCCACTGTGCCCAGCCTAGAGTCTTTTTAGTTTTATAAATTTCATAAGTAGGAACCTTTAGTTTACTGGGTGTCTTATTTGACTTGAGAAAACAGCACTGGGGCTCACACCTCTTTTTTTTTGTTTTGTTTTGTTTTAAGGCAGGGTCTTGCTCTGTTACCCAGGCTGAAGTATAGTGGCACAGTTACGGCTCACTGCAGCCTCAACCTTCTGGGCTGAAACGATCCCCTACCTCAGTTTCCCAAGTAGCTAGGAGTAGAGGCCTGCACCACCATGCTCTGCTAGTTTTTAAATTTTTTTGTAGAGATGTGGTGGGTGCTGGGATTACAGGTGTGAGTCGCTGTTCCCAGTCATAGCTCAGTTAAATTTTTTTTTACCATGTAAACAAATGAGGGCTCATGCCTGCAGTCCTAGCACTTTGGGAGGCTGAGGTGGGAGGATCATTTGAATCCAGGAGTTTGAGAACAGCCTGGGTCACGTAGCGAGGCCCTGTCTGTCTAAAAAAAATTTTTTTTTTTTTTTTGAGACAGAATCTTACTGTTGTCCAAGCTGGAGTGCAGTGGTGCAGTCTCGGCTCACTGCAACCTCCGCCTCCCAGGCTGCAGCGTTCTTCTGCCTCAGTCTGCCAAGTAGCTGGGACTACAGGCACACGCCGCCATACCTAGCTAATTTTTTTGTATTTTAGTAAAGACCAAAGTTTCACCTTGTTGCCCAGGCTGGTCGTGAACTCCTGAGCTCAGACAATCCGCCCACCTTGTCTTCCCAGAGTGCTGGGATTACAGGCGTGAGCCACCGCGCCCGGCCAAAAAACTTTTTTTTGAGATGGAGTCAAAAAAAAACTTGGGTAACTTGCTCTGTTACCCAAGCTGGAGTGCAGTGGTGCAATCTCGGCTCACTGCAGCCCTTGCCTCCCAGTTCAAGCGACTCTCCTGTCTCAGCCTCCCAAGTAGCTGGAACTGTAGGTGTGTGCCACCATGCCCGGCTAATTTTTGTATTTTTAGTACAGATAGGGTTTCACCATGCTGCCCAGGCTGGTGTTGAACTCCTGACCTCGTGATCCACCCATCTTGGCCTCCCAAAGTGCTGGGATTACAGGTGTGATCCACTGTGCCCGGCCTATAAAATTTTTAAAACTAGCAGGGCGGCCTGGCTTGGTGGCTTGTGCCTGTAACCCCAGCACTTTGGGAGGCTGAGGTAGGTAGATCACCTGAGGTCAGGAGTTCGAGACCAGCCTGTCTAACATGGTGAAACCCCATCTCTACTAAAAATACAAAAATTAGCCAGGCGTGGTGGCAGGTGCCTGTAGTCCCAGCTACTTGGGACGCCAAGGCAGGAGAATGGTGTGAACCCGGGAGGCGGGGCTTGCAGTGAGTCGAGATAGCGCCACTGTGCTCCAACCTGGGTGACAGAGCGAGACTGTCTTTAAAAAAAAAAAAAACAAAAAAAAAACTAGCAAAGCATAGTGGCACGTGCCTGCAGTACCAGCTACTCAGTAGGCTGAGGTGAGAGGATCGCTTGAACCTAGGAGATGGAGGTAATAGTGAACTGTGATCGTGCCATTGCATTCCATCCAGCCTGGGTGACAAAGAATGGGAGCCTGCCTGTAGAACAAACAAACAACACAAATGATCATAATATGCATGGAAACACAAAGGTGATTATTCGAGGCTTCCCTAAGCAAGAAATCATTCAGTTCCAAACGAAGTGCCAAATATAGAGTAAAATGGAAAACTTGCAGTTTTTTGTGAATTCAAGAAAGTAAACTATGAATTTGTTACATTTTTACTTAATTTTCATTGTAAATTATTATTTGGTTTATCATCAGGATTACCCAAAATGATGTTAAATGTTTTTAATATACTAACATCTGTGGTTCGTTTTTTTTTTTTTTTTTTTTTTTGGTTCTGATTCTTGCTCTGTTGCCCAGGCTGGAGTGCAGTGGCTGCAAAGTAAACTGCCCCAAATCCCCGTTTAC